ACTCCCCTTCTTCAAACACCTTTTATCCACTGTCAGCACTCATCAACAAGGCACACTCCTGCTTTGTGGAGATTCTAATGTAACCATACATCCTAGCCTAGATAAATCAACAATTAATGATCCCTCCATTGATAGCTCCAAAGTTTTCCGTACACTTCTCTCTCAATATTCACTGATAGATTGTTGGAGGGAGTTGCACCCCTCCTCCAGAGAATACACTTTTTACTCAAACCCACATTATTCGTTTTCCAGGATAGATCACTTTTTTGTTTCTCACTCCACTCTCCCTTCAGTGGTCGAATCAAACATTGCTCCATTCCCCTGGAACGACCATCATGGGGTGACTCTTTCAGTGTCCTCCTTATGGTCTGAACACACAGATCGCTCCTGGACTATGGATGATTCCCTTCTCACAGATAGAAACACCCAATTGGCTATAAAAGATGCTCTGCAGGAATACATTTTACATAACAAAACCTCAGACATTGCGCCCACTATGCCCTGGGAGGCGCATAAGCCGGTTCTGCGAGGCACATGTATACTTTCACCCTTAAGAAAAAAAATAAGGTTAGCTCTTTTACATGACCTTGAAACGCAATTTAATGGCGCTTCTAGATCCTTTAGTTTACATCCAACTGCCCCAAATAAATCCCTGGTGGAAAGGACTAGCCACGACCTCAACCTTCTACTAGCCAGCTTTACTGAAAAAAGCCTCCGCAGGACACAACATAAGTTCTACCTTCAAAGCAATAAGCAAACTGCCCTCCTTGCAAGAAGATTACGCAAAATTGATCTGCACCAAAAACCCCTCCACCTTCGCCTCTCCGACAACTCCCTATCTAGTAATCCCCACAAAATTTTCCAATAATTTTCTAAACATTCATCTAAACTCTATAACTCAACCACCCCTTTTGACCCCAACATAGCCTCCACCCTGTTCTCCGTTGTGACCATGCCTGCTGTGCCTGAGTCTATTCATACATCTCTCGATGCCCCTATTACTAACCTAGAAGCGCTAGCGGCTATAAAAACGCTCAAACTCTACAAGAGTGGATAACTTTACGGCTTTACTATAAGAAATTTTCTGAATTCTTAGCACCTCTACTGACAGCTGCTTTTAACGATGTTCGTGATGGGTCAAAATTCAGAACAGAATATTTCTCGGCCACTATTTGCATGGTTCCAAAACCGGATACAGATGGAGCCCACTGGTCCAATTACAGACCAATCTCGCTCTTAAATATCGAAAATTTAATTATTAGCCAAAATATTAGCAACAAGACTCAACTCAATCATTCCTGACCTTATTCACAAAGACCAGGTTGGCTTTATCCCCGGTGTCAAGCTGGTGACAATGTGCGCAGAGCTTGTCTCCTAATAGAAAAAGCTAAGCAACGAGGCATTCCATTTATGCTCTTATCTTTGGACATGCAAAAAGCGTTTGATTCCCTCTCTTGGCGATATTTGTTCTACATACTCAATAAATGGGGCTTCGGGTCGAGATTCTGTACCTGGATTACTGCATTATACTCTAACCCTACGGCATCTGTGAAATACGCTGGGCATAGATGCGCTCCCTTTTCCATCCTGCAAGGCACTAGACAGGGTTGTCCCCTGTCCCCATTATTATTTGCATTGGCCATTGAGCCCCTAGCACAGTTGATTAGAGACCACTCGGACATCGCAGGCATTTCACTAGTGGGGCATCATCATAAATTATGTCTCTCCACTGACGATATCTTATTTTTTCTCTCTAACCCCCTCATCTCTCTTACTAACTCTTTAAACCTGTTAGACTCCTTCAGCCGCCTCTCGGGATTACATCTAAACACGACAAAATCCAAAGCCCTAAATATCATGAGTGCTGGGGCAGCTGTGTCTTCCCATCCATCTGAATGCGTCACAGGTGATGCACAGAGGGATGATAGGCAGGGCTGTGGGAGCTATGTGGCAGATTTATAATGATATTACATAGTTACATAGTCAGGTTGAAAATAGACACAAGTCCATCGAGTTCAACCTATAGAGATACGGAAAAAAAACAAAAAGAGAAGAAAAGCCTAAAGAGAACGCTATGCCCACAGCTACCCCCTGTCGATCCAGAGGAAGGCAAAAAAACCCTATAAAGCATGGTTCAGTTTGATCCAACAGGGGAACAAAATCCCTCCCTGATCCCATAAGGCAATCGGATATTCGCTGGATCAACAATCTCTGATGCCTAATATACCTATAAGAACTCAATATCCAGTAATATTCTGTGCATTTAAGAATACATCCAGATGTTTTTTTTTAAACAATTAACTGAGCTAGCTAGAACTAGCTCCTGGGGGAGTCTATTCCACATTTTCACAGCTCTAACTGTGAAGAATCCTTTATGTATGCAAAGGTTAAACCTCTTTTCCTCTAGAAGCAAAGAGTGCCCCTTGTCCTTTGCAGTGACCTTAATGTGAATAATTTGGCACCAAGCTCTTTATATGGACCATTTATGTATTTATACATTGTGATCATGTCCCCTCTTATTCGCCTCTTCTCCAGAGAGAACAAATTCAGGTCAGCTAATCTTTCCTCGTAGCTGAGCTCCTCCATGCCTCTTATGAGTTTAGTTGCCCTTCACTGCACTTTCTCCAGGTCCACAACATCCTTTTTGTGAACTGGTGCCCAAAACTGAAATGCATATTCCAGATGAGGTCTTACTAATGCTTTGTACAGGGGCAGGATTATGTCTCTATCTCTGGAGCCTACACCCCTTTTAATACAAGAAAGTATTTTGCGTGCTTTAGAAACTGCTTGTTTGTATGTATGTTTATCTTATTTCATATGTTTATCTCATCGAAAATCTGTCTAATTTCCAACGATATATATCAGTTGCACTCCTGTGCAAAAATGTCTGTTGCCTAAATTTTCCAAATCAGGGCTGCATTTGATTAAAAAGACAGGTCCATTTTATATAAGAAAACTGCTGATCTGATCTGTTGAGATCTAAGCAAGGCAAAGTGTGTGGTTCCCTAACTGCTGTTTTGTTTTATTCCACATTATTACCCAGTGTCATAGTTTTTTTAAAATGTTGAATGAACCGTATGGTTGAAAATGTGATTGCATGTTTCCATGAACCAGGGCATATTCTTACCTTTTGTTTTTACAAACCGTGCTTCAGGCGGTAATTGTTTTATTTTTTCTTCTTTGCCTGAGAAATATAAATATGACTTACTCTAAAACTTTAGTTATATTAGACCTTTCTTTTTTTATTTCATAAGCTTTGATTCATCTGACAACAACTTCAGATAAAACTTTTTCTTTTTTTTCTTTGCTGTTGCTAAGACTAGTTGTCATGCTTAAAGCACAGTATTCTCCTCCCCCAGATACTTATTTTATTGCCTGGAGCAATACCCCATAGCTGTACCAATTGCTGTCATTTCAAATTACACTGGCTTTTCTTCTTGCTCATCTGTGTCTTACCCTTTCAGGGCTCGGCATAGCTTCAAATAACTACAAATTATTTGATGCTGGTTGTAGCAGCTAAAATGATTATATGTGCTCTTCACTATAAGAGGCAGCTAAAATGTTACATTCCTGATCTTGAATTTCTCAGTGCTATCAACATCATCTCACTGCAATCATGAAAAAGAATTGGATGGTTTGGAATTAATTAAAAGGAAAATTGTATCTGCCAAGAAGACTCCAGTCAACTTTGAAAAATTGGACTCAGTGTCATCTGATAAGGAAAGAGTAGATGTTTAATGTTCGCTGTGTTTCCCAGATAAGTAAACAGTTTTCTCTATGGATCGATGACTTGTTCCCTGCCAGTAAAGTAATGGCAAAACAAATGACAAATCCAATTATTATCCTAATTTAATATCCTGTGCATTTCTGCAAGAAAAAAGTTCTAGAGCGCTGACTATAAGTTTTGATTTACCAGAATGCTAATGTTGCAAGCTTAGCTAGCTTAGTCCTGTACAGTTTGCTTAGAGCAAAAGTTAATGTTGCTTTTCAAGTAGATTTCTGCTTGCTTGACCCTATACATATAGATTGCAAGAGTATCAGTCATTTTCCCTTATTCATTTCTAGAAGAGTTTTTAAAGTAAGGTGGAAGAGTTTATCACGGAAAGACAAATTCCACCTTTCTAAAAATGTAATATTATAAGGCAGATAGCAAAATATTCAATTTTGTATTTGCAATGCCATCTATGCCACAACATTACCACAGTGTCCACTGTGTTAATGTGTTGTTGTTATGTTTCTACACATAGTGGAGACAATCTGGGAACTGAAGAAAGAAAGCCACACCATAAATGAAAAGCTGAGAGCATTAAAGGGAATTTAAATATTGTAACTTGCTGTGTCCCCCTCCCATTCCTTGCTGCTGGATAATTAAAGTTAAGAATAGTAGAACTACAATATTTCCCAGTATAGATGGACAGATTTTTTTGCTACTTTCTTCTTATAGCCAAGTCTCAGGGTTAGATCTGTGTAAGGCATCGGAACCTATTCTTGGTTGTAGGAATGCATTTCAGCAGTTTTGTATTTTAGGCAGCTAGCAGCATGCTTTAGGGACCGGATATTATAATGTTGCAGTTTTTGGTGGTGCTGCATCATTGCCTGTACATTTTTTTTTTTTTATGTCTGAGAACCCTCTTTTTAATATGCTGTATCTTCTGAATTGTTTTCATGTAGAATGTAGTCTACATCTACTCCATCTGAAACCAGTTATGTGTTTACTTTGAACAGGTGCATTCTGTTCCTTCTGTGCACTCCACCACTCTTGGGGAAGATCTGGGAGCACGTCGTTTAAAGTTACACAACTTGACATTGGATCTTTGTGTCATGACCTGGTCTTCTTCCTATAAAGCAGATAGTAGCCTTGCAGTCCTGTGGCAGTATTTAACATGCATGTTGTTCATGTTAGAGGCATGGGAAATGCAGCTTATAAATAAAAGTTAACTGTTATTTCCATTTTCTTAGATATAAATATATATTTTCTAATGTGTATTGTTTTCTTCCAGGTTCCACCAATACTGCTGGATAAACAGTTCTCTGAATTTACTCCCGACATTACTCCAATCATTTTGGCTGCTCATACAAACAATTATGAAATTATAAAACACCTGGTTCAGAAAGGTGTCTCGATCCCAAGACCACACGAGGTTCGGTGTAACTGCGTGGAATGCGTTTCTGGTTCTGATGTGGATAGTTTACGACACTCTCGCTCAAGGCTGAATATCTACAGGGCACTGGCAAGCCCATCTTTAGTTTCACTGTCAAGTGAGGATCCCTTTCTAACTGCGTTTCAGCTAAGCTGGGAGCTTCAGGAGTTAAGTAAAGTGGAAAATGAATTTAAATCTGAGTACGAGGAGCTGTCAAGGCAATGTAAGCAATTTGCAAAAGACCTTCTGGACCAAACAAGGAGCTCCAGGGAATTGGAAATTGTTCTTAACTATAGGGATGATGGTGGTCTCTTGGAAGAACAGAATGGCAATGACCTTGCCCGTCTCAAATTGGCAATTAAGTACCACCAGAAAGAGGTATGCTTTTTTTTTAAATTCAAAAACAGTACAGCAGTTATTGTTTACATATTTACTCGTTATGGTACATGAATTGTAAAATCTGCAAGCTCAAAAGTAAAAAAATAAATATTTGATTATACAGGTACAGCTTCCTGTATCGAAAAACATGTCATGCGCCAAGTTCAACCGTTTCAAAATGTAAAAAAAACAGTTCCTGCTTATCTGTACAAATGTCATAGAAAGACACAGCTGCAAAGCTGTTTCTCTTACAGAAAAGGTATGAAATTCTGTTTTATGAGGGTAAGGATCCCGGAGCCAGTCTAGTGTGGATGGAGGTCATTTTAGTTTAGGCGTACATGCTTATTAAAATACCCTTTATAACATTCAACACAATGGGATATTATTGCTGGCTGTTTCTTAAGGGCGACTGTACCTTTGCAGTGGGGAAAGGGGGCACAGCTCTTGCCATGATGTGAAGTATGTCCTGTATAATATTATAATATTATACAGCATATTTGCACAAGATGGTATACTTTCCTTTCAAAGTGCTCTTTTTCAGCGATACAATGTCCACACTCTCGTTCATCACTCTGCTGCCACCGCTGGCATCCTTTATAGCTCTTCTTCTGGGTCCGGAGTCTTCAGCCATCTTGCTTAGCTGCCCTAGGATAATTTAACTCCTGCAAATGCACACATAATCCATAAATAATGGATAATGGGTCAAGAGTGGCAAAAAAGGTTCAATTTTAGATAAAGTTGATTTTGCCTGCTTAAAATCAGCAAAGACCATGTTGATGTTAATAGCATGATAAAACAAATTGTGAAATACCTGGAAGATGATTTGCTTTGACTTTTTATAAAAGATGAAATGCTGTGAAATGTAAACTTTAATTTTTTTGTCAATAGACCAATTAGTCCACCCGAAATAGCATATGACGGTGCATGGTAACCAAATTATCAAACTATAACCAAGTGCCAAAAGCAAAACAATTGTCCAAGTTCTGAACGTTAACAAAACATAGAATTTGAGCTATATGTCTGTTCAACCATAATTTACCTCTTTCACATTAAGTGCACCCAAACTTATTTTATATTGTTTTTTAGAGGACAAATATGGTTTTCGTTTGACATCAAATATTTATAAATGAACTGTAAATATATATGCATAAAATCTAACCAATTATAAGAACTTAAGAAGTATTGGGAATATCATAATGCTAATATGTTTTAGTGCAATAAAACACCCATTATTGTATTCTACAATGTCCTAGTACATCAATACCCCCCATTTACAGGTTTAATGGGGTTTTATGGGAGTTACAGGGCCAAATATGGGGCTTGAACATTTCAGTTATCATACATAGAATTTCGGCACATTGCATTTCCGAGCCTAGGTTGATTTGAGACAGTATGGCAGCCTTGAAAAGAAAATGGATGCATAATAACATACTATTTTCAAAAGTAGACAGCCCAGAGTATTATAAATAGGGTATTTTGAGTTGTTTTGTGTAGCCACTTTATCACATATGCTGGCCACACTTAGAAGCTTATACTTTCGTCTGTGCTCTTCACACACATACATTCAATTTTCACATAATATGTAATAACCCTTATATGTCTTGCTGCAATAAAGCCCCAATATTTGTAATGAGCAATGTCTAATAAATATAACGGTACCCCCATGTACTGGTTATACAGTTTTTTTGGAAACTTACAGGGCCAAATATATTGCATACCCATTTCAAAACTTGGAAATTTGAAACATTGATTTACTGGGTCTAGGTCGCCTTTGAGACAGTATGGCAGCCTAGCCTAATTTTCCAGATAGATGTCAAAAAGCAAAGTCAGCACAAGCCGAGTCAAAAACCAGTTTATACGAAATACTGTGATCAGAAACTAGGTAAAAGGGTAAAAAACGTAAAAAGGGTCAAATGTTAGACACAGGTAAAAATCACACCACAAAAATGCTGAACAGTACTACCGTACTCATCAGTGTGATCACAGCAATAAAACTGTGATTAGTGCTGAAGGGCTTATTTTTTTTTAAATAAAAGAATTGAAAATGGGTAAAACTAACAAAAGGTAAAATTATAATTTAAAAAATGAAAAAAATCACACCTCAATATGTACTAAAAAACTTTGATCAGCGCCGAAGGAGCTAATTTAAAATAAATAAATAATAAAAATAAATTTTTTTAAAAACACAGCAATCCTGACCAGTACTATTGTACTGATCAGAGTGATCACAGTTATAAAACTGTGATCAGCAATTAAGGAGTTAATTTCTTTTATATAAAGGTGTTTTCATTATTATTACTTCTGGAACCCGTAATACCTACTGGGACACTTAGGGGTCTATTCACAAAGCTGCCGAGGGCAGCCGAGTGAATGACCGATCAGAAGTGAAGTGAGCCGAACACCGTTCGGCTATTCACTTCAGGCTGGTACGGCTGATTTCAGCCGTATATTGGCTGAAATCAGCCGTACATCGGCTTGCTTCGTGTGGCTTCGGATCAGCCGAACATGCTCAGCATGTTCGGCTGACCCGAAGTGCAGAAGGAGTTCGACTCAGCCGATCCAACATCTGGATTGGCTGAGCCGAACCTCCGGCAGGCTTCACACTGCTGTTCGGGCTATTCTGAAAGATCCCGAACAGCAGTGAGAGAATAGCCGAATGCCGCCGAGTGGCATTTGGCTCGGCTGTTCTGCTCGGTCCCTCAGAGGCACCGAGCAGAACAGAAAAAGAGTGAAAAAAGTAGAAAAAAGTAAATAGAAAACGATTGTGCAGAGCTAGCAGTGACAGCTAGCTCCGCCCAATAGTTTCCTATTGTCCGGCGGCTCTGCTGCTGTAAAAAAAAAAAAATTAAAAAATTGTAAAAACTCTCCCTGGGGCCCCGGGAGCCCCCCGCTCCCGGCCGCCAAGGAGAGAAACACAGCTGTGTCTTTTTTTCTTCATTCTGGCACGAGCGATGTCAGAATAGAGAAAAAAAAAATTCCCATTCAAAAGCATTGAGAGTTTACTATTGGCTATTTCAATTTGCAATAGCCAATAGTAAACTAGCATTGTTCCCGCCCTCTGCTGGTGGACCTGGTGGGGAACTGCAAAAGAGGGCGGGTACAATGCTAGTTTACTATTGGCTATTGCAATAGAAATAGCCAATAGTAATGTCCCAATGCTTTTGAATGGGACTTTTTTTTTTTTTTTTTATTCTGACATCGCTCCGTGTCAGAATAAAGAAATAAGACAGAGCGGGGTTTTTCTCCTTGGCGGCCGGGAGCAGGAGACTCCCGGGGCGCCAGGGAGAGTCAGATGCTTGGAGATCAGTGTCCCTGGTTAGCAACCAGGGACGCTGATCTCTCTGAAAGTGGCCGGAGCCAGCCGTAAGATCACGGCTGGCTCCGCCCAGCTGTCAGAAGCAGGCTGTCGGCCGGCCAATGGCCGGCCGCTCGGCCAGCTTCGTCTTTTAGCACGGCTCAGCGCTCGACTGAGCTGCTCGGCCGTGATCGGGAGCTGTACGGGCTATTGTGAATAGCCGTACAGCTCCCCCTCGGTTCTCCTGAACCGAAGGGGTCCTGGTGCCGAAGCTAGCCGAAGGATCGGCCGAAGCTACGGCCAGATCCTTCGGCAGCTTTGTGAATAGACCCCTTAGTAGCACTGATCTACTTCTCTCACCTCAGATCACACTGAGGAGAGAGAGAGAAGCAGAGGCAGAACTGACAGCCAATGATTTGAATCATTGGCTGTCACAATGTGTAACTGATTGCAGTGACTGCCTGTCACTGCGATCATGTGGCCTGAATTGCAGATTGCCTGAGATTCCAGGCAAGTCCCCGCATCAGGTCACGACGGGCAAGTATAACAGGGAGGGTGGAACGGATGGACTTAGAAGCTAGGACGTTCCATGCCGCCCTAACGTCTTTAAAGCCCATGCTTTCCAGGTCAGCATGGAACGTCCTAACATCAGGAACTGGTTTAGCAAATTCATTTTTAGATATAAAATAGATTACACACCTGGGACCCTTTTGTTAATGTTATATGTAGCCTCAAAACTACCAACCTCCCTTACTCAGCAGACAGGTGAAGATAGGTTTACCTTTGGATAAAATGATCAAACATACCGCTGGATGCTTGTTGCACTAGATTTGTGTTGATTTGTATGTAATCACACATATGATTTAGGCAATGACAGAAGGATGACGTTATTTAATGACTCTCTGTTCTGTAAAAACACTTTTGCATATAATGGCCTAATATGTAAGTATCAGTTTGTTGTATTAGATTTATGTTTATTTTTATGTAATTGCGCAAATGACTCAGGCTTTGACAGAAGGATGACTTTTTAAATGAGTCTATATTTATTGAAGATTAAAGCAATTTGACAGCTCCCACTCACATCTATATATAGAACAAGGCCTGGTGTATTTTCTGCACTCAGTGAACCATGTCCATATGTTTTACTGTGTGTTAAAGTTGCAGTAAATGCAAAGAATGCATGTATTTATTTTAAAGATCTTCATTGTTTTTCCAATAATGTTCATGTAACCTTACTTATTTGTCATTACGTAATCAGTGTTTGTCTGTTTGTTTATAAAACCTAATAACTGATAATTAAATTGCAAGGCATGCAAGCAAGAATCGTGAGAAAAACTATGGGCAATGTTGTATGCTGTATGTTCTGTTTATCTTATTATATATTTGCATGGGAATATGAGATAGGCTCCTATTATTTAGAAAAATGTCACTACTATTAGTTCAGGCCCACCCTCTGGGACTCAAAGAACTATTGAACATGAGTGTCAAACTCAGAAGAGACCTAAATCCAGTATCTTCTCTGATGTTTATGACTAAGAAACTAAGAACTAAGAAACTCATCTAAAAGTTTCTTGAATTTATCTATGCTATCAGCGGATACCACTGACTTTGAAAGGGAATTCCAAATTTGTACTACTCTCACAGTAAAAAAAAAAAACCTTGCGCAGTGTTAGATTAAACCTTCTCTCTTCTATCCTCATGTTGT